TAAATGTTTAAAAAAGAATGTTTTAAATTTCTTTACACATTATTTCTATTATTATTTATAATTAAATTGTATACAATCATCATTTTTAATATTATATATTAATTAACTTTATTAATAATATGAATTATTTAATATTTAATTATTATTTAATAAATTTAAACAAAAATATTTAAATCAATTTAATCAGTATTGTCACAGTTATTTTTAAATAATATATTATAGTTTAATAAAAAAAATGAAGTATAATATAAAAAAAATTATTATTGTATCAGTTTTTGATAATATTTTTATATATATAATATTATATTATATGTAATATCTTTACATATATAAATGTAAATCATATAACATATAATATATACTATAGAAAATAAAATATTAAAATATTAAAATTTTATCTATATTTGATTGATATTTTATTGATGTTCTATACATATCAAATATAAGTAAAATTATTTTAATATTTTATTTTTTGGCAATTACATTAAAATATTAAAATATTCTTAAATATTCTTATTTAACAACAACAATAATTTTATTGTAGTACCTTTAATTCATAATTTCTTTATAAAATCATTATTTATAATTAATAACAATATTTTAATTATAAATATTTAAATCTCATCAAATCATTTCTCTATTCTTTATATCTTAATAGAATTATTAACTTAATAGCTATAAAACTTGATATTATAAATTATAATTATAATTATATATATACTCAATAATAACTGTATATATCAATAATAATGATAATATAGCATATATATATCTAAAATTTTGAAAATTTTTTTTTAGATTATATTATATTCTAGTTCCTGTTATTAATTTCTATAATATGTATAATATATATAGAATTATGAAAATTCTTTCACAGTTTTATATATAAGAACTATGAAATAATGTACGATATTAAATATAACCTAGATATTAATCCTTTACATTTGTATATATGTAAATTATTGTAATAAAAGAATTAGAAAATGAGCTAAATAACTAATATAAATATATTTACAATTAGAAAAAATTATTAAAAAGTATTTAATTTGCAAGTAAAATATCAATAAAATATATTTTTTTTCAAAACTGAGTTTTAATTGAAAGAAAAAAAAAATAGCAAGTGCAAAGGATTTATATAAAAATTTTGAAATCAAATTCTATTATTCTCAAAAAATATTTGTTATAATAAAAATAAATAAATTTTAAAATGTTATTTCAAACAATTTCAGTTGTATTCACCAATGGTTGATTGGCATCCATTGCATGGCCTATCACAGTAGTGCTGAAAAATATTTAAAAAATATTTACTATACAATAATCATATATATAGATTAATTTAAAAAAATTATTTTACAATTAAATTATATCAGCAATTATTAGATTATACAATATCAATATCAAAAGCTGTAATACATAATACCATCAAAAAATCTTTAATATTCAATTTCAAATTGCATTTTCATTAAAATAAGCATTAATATTTATAATATTTATAATTTTTAAAAAAAAGATCTTAAACATGCAATAATACAAAATTCAATTTTGCTATACATTAAATTTAAATCAAGTAAATAAATAATTTACATTTTTTAATATATTTTATAATATAATTTATTAAAAAAATAATATTAACTATTATTTATGTTATAAATTCGATTGTAAATAAAATAATAAAAATGTAAATATTAAAATATAAAACTTTTTTAAAAATTAGTATTTAATAAAAATGATATATTTTTTATTTTATATAGTAAACTTTTAAATATTTATATTTTGTTTTATCAAATAAATATTTACCAATATGAAGAATTAAATTTGAATACATTTTCGATTAAACAATTTAATATTACCCAATTAAGTGCCAAAACCAGTAGTTTCTTCTATTAAAGTAAATCAATGGTAGACCTGTAGTCAAGAACTTAACATTCACTATATTAAATAATACATACGTATCAATACCATATATATAATAAATCAATTAAAAATATAAATCAATAATGAATATGCATATAATTAATAAAATTAAATTTTTATTAAATTAGATTATTATGTTTAAATCTGAGCAAAAAATTGTAATTTCATTTTAAAATATATATTAATTATATAATGTATTAATAACATGCATTTAAAAAAAATTATGTATTAATGTATTATTTAATAAACTACAATAAGCAAGCAAAATTAGTATAGTTTATAAAAATACATATATGTAACATATACATAATATAATAATACAATAACATATTACAATAATATAAAAATAAACTTTTAAAAATTTATATATAAAAATTTAATATATAATTAATAATTTATTAATTATATATATAATAAATTTTTATAAATTAATTATATGTAATGGGATACATAAAATAATTATGCATTCATATATATTAATCAATGTTAAAATGAAATAAAAATTAAAAAATATTATATGAGTTGAAGTTAAATATAAAAATATTTTTATATATTAATATATTGAAATTTCATTTCAATTTTATCAATTTATTTTGTTTTTTTTCTTACAACATTTTTGATTAATAATAGACAGTGAAATTTATATACGTACATTTTTCATTAATAATATTTTATACATATCTTATATCTTATATATTAATAAATGCTTAAATAATGAAATTAATATAATCATATAACAATTTATATAATTTTTATTATCTTTTTAGTCATAATTTCTTATTTTATTTATTGTACAAATTATATATTTGTACTAGTCATTATAAAAATTTATAATATTTACCATACATTTTTTGTATATTTATTTTATATATTTATATAATACAAAAGTAACTCTTAGTAAACTCTTTATTAATGATATTTTTATGTTAATTTAATACTAATGAAAAAAAGAATTAAACTTTAAATTTTAAGATTCTTTATAATTTTTTTTAAATGATTTATTTCTTTATAATAATATTTTGATAAAAATAAAGAGTTTACAATAAATACACTTTATATCCTGAATGCTGTATCTTTTTTTTCATAAGACAATAATATTAACTTATTTCTTATTTATAAAAAAAAGTTATTTATAAAAAAAAAATTAAAAATGTGATCCAATATAAAAAATTATTTAGATGATTGCAGAATACTTCTGACTAATATGAGTTTTGTACTAAAAATATTTTATATTTGAACAATGCATATAAACTAATGCACTGCCTCAAAATAGGGATTCACAGGCTACACAATACCTGATTGTGACCCATAAGGAGGTGGAGAGTCAAGTTCAGTCTCATCACCCCATTGTTGGGTAGTATGTCCCAACAAAGTATGTGTATCTTCATTGCACAGCCGTTCAGGAAGTTTATCCCATCGCCAAAACTGTAACCCACACTCTACCTTCTACTTCATGTAATCCTATATTATTTTTAGAAGTAGCGTATCTATTAATTTTTGACAAATATAAAAATTATAAGATGTATTGATTATGAAATGAAGTATTTTAAAATTTTATGTAAATTTTAATTTTCAACATATTTTTCATTCTTTTTCTTTTATGTTTGCTTTTAATTTATTATTTGTAATATAAAAAAATATAAAATAAAAGTAATATGAAATATAGTTACGCTACTTCTAATAATCAAATAAATATCAATCTGCAAGAACCAGATGCACAATATTTTTTATAATAACAAGAAAATTAAATAACAATAATTTTTATTAGCATACAATATAATGCATCTACAAATAATATGCATTCAAAATAAAAATAATACCTATTTTAAAGTCCATCTCAATTATCTTCAGATTAAATTCAAGATGCAAATTTGATCTCACTGTAGGCATATAAATATTATAAATTTTAATACAATTGTTATCATTTTATTACAAAAAAATAAAACAATATTTATAAATATAATGATAAAAATTATATTTTTTGATGTGTCATAAAAAGTTAATAGTATATTAATCAAAATTCATAATTTTTGCAAAACACGTTTCAACAAATCACAAAACACACATCTCATAAATTACAGTTAATGAAAAGTATTAAAAACATATAGCTATAATATTAAAATTGTAATTTCATTAATATTATATTACTTTCAATGTTAATAATTCAATCACATTTGTAAATATAACATTGGCTTTTATAATAGAATAAAAGCACAAATAAAATAAATAGTTGCATGCATTCATAAAGCAAATATATATGTATATACACACACACGCACGCGCGTGTGTATATGTGTGTAACTTTGTTACTCTGGAACTCTATATCAAATAAATAAATCAAATAAATGAAAGAAAATGGTTTTCTAAAAAAAAAAATAAATGCATGAATCTATTAAAAGACATGAAGAAAATGTTTTAATTTCTTTGTTTTAAAAAATATTTAGACATCTTTTAAATGTAACAATATGTTATTTATTTTAATATCAACTGCCTTTTAATCAACATTAAGGAGTTCCATAGTAAAATTTATATATAACTATTACATTGGCACTATAAATGTCTATAATGCTGACCTGTTTCGGGTACTGCCCATGGAGTCATAAGTATTCGATGTGCCTTGATGTTGCGCACGTACTGGATAGGTGACACCATTTCCAAGACTAAAACACATTCAACGGATCCATCGCGTTTTAACCGTAATGCTATTATTATTTACAATTGTACTTATTTATGAAAAATATGAATTAATAAAATTGAAATATTTATGTTAAGAGAATAAATAGTAATAAAACTTAATATGTATTATTAATAAATATTAGAATGTGTTGATATTTTTTTAATATTAGATATATGCTAAATGCAATGAAAAATTAATTTTTATATAATTTTGATTTTTAAGGCAGTTTATATAATTTGTTAAATATATATTTTATGTTTTTTACCATTTTCTTCACTTTTATCCGAGATATAATTTAGTTTTTTGTAAAACTATATTACTATGTTTATTTAATAAAGAACTTAAAATATAATAGATAAAGCTGTAGATGGAAATTTTTATTGATAATAGTTTTAATATTTTTTATAATTACATTCAATTATAGAAAAAATTAATTCTTAATTTTTTTTTAATAAATATGATATTAATATTCATCAATTTATAATACCATAATGTATATACATATATACATATACACATATATACTTACAAATAAGTACATTATTTACAGATTAGTATACATGTGCTCTCTTCATAGTATAAAATTATAATTATTACATAATTTCAATAATTTACTAATAATTAGAATTATATATTGTGCAAATGGTTCGCAGTTTTATTATTATTATTATACCATCAAAATAAAAATACTATAAAAATATGAATTATTAAATACTATTAAACTTACCTAGTAAAAATAGGAAGGAACCATAATTTAGGATTATCACCAAATACTTCTTGGAAATTATTATACTTTCCAAGACTAAAACCATCTTTATCCTTTCCTGTACGGAACATAGGTGGTGTAAATGCTTCTACAAATGATTCATATAAAATATAGTATACATTGTTTTATAAAATATGGAATAATTTGTATGTAACATGTTTTTAATTACCTAATGTAGACCTATTATGTAAAACAAGATAGCAATGATAAAAAAAAAGAGAATTTAAACTAACTGCAAACATCAATGCAACAAAGAATAAGAAAAGTAGATGAAATCTACCCATTCCATCTAATTCCCCCTGTAAAGTAAATAATTATATTATTGTAAGAAAAATAACAAATAATATTATTTAATTTTAATATATATTAAGATTTATAAAAATTTCATTATTAAAAATTTATAATATTTAAAATATAAAAAAAACATTTTTATTATATTTATTACATGTAATAGATAATTTTTAAAATATTTAAAAAGATTATACTTACTTTCCAAAAACGTATAAGATATTGTAAAGATGTAGCAGTAATAAATATACAATAAAGAAGAGCATATGCCAAAAACAACATGAAGAATTTATAATTGTGAAATCCTATACAATTATTCACCCATGGACAATGATGATCCATTTTTAAAACACATGTACTACATACACTACAATGGTGTGCTCGATCTGGTTTAATTAATTGACATTTCTCACAAAAACGAATTACTAAAAAAAATATATACAATATAATATATTATATACATATATTTCTCTGATCATAAATAATAAGAAACAATATTTATACCTCCTTTTATAGTGCGATTTGTGACTGGAAGACCTTGTGCAAATCTTTCTAAGATTTGTCTTTGTGCTTCTTCCGTTTCAGCTTGTTGAAATTTTTCCATTTCTACATCTGGAATTTTAAACTATACAAAAAATCATTTTATAAATATTTTATATATTATACTTATACTGTACTAATTATAAATTAAATTTTACCTTGTATGGTACTTCTATTAAATCTGTAAATACAGTCTGCCAATAAGACCATAAAAATAATAGAAACAGGATATGATAAAAAAATAAATAAAAAGCTGTTAACAAAATTAGTAAATTATTAATAAAACTATTATTTTTGTTAAGAGAATTTTCTACTAATAATTATACAAACCTTTTTGAACATAATTATCTACAGTATCTAAAATAAAAAAAGCAAATTACTAGTAGATATAATTAAAATAAAAACTTATTAAAATACAAATTTATTGTATAATATATATATATATATATATATATATATAAACATATAAATATGATTTAAATTTCATTTTTATTATAAAATCTTTATTATTAAAAATCGAATGAATGTAAATACTTACAAAAACATAACTGCACTACATAAGCATAATAGGACCATAAGACAATTGTCAAAATGAAAATAACTGGTATCCATTTTACGGCTTTCACAAACCACCAACAAGATCCGTTTTGTTTTCCCATTCTATTCACTGTATTATAGATATACATGTGTGTCTAATTATATCATTCATGTAAACATTATTTTTACCATTATCAAACCGATGCACCATTGCAGACACTTTACATAAAGCGTACACATGCAATCGAGAGTATCTTTATTACATGAAATCATATTTCGATAAATTGAAAATTATCTCCTTTTTATTACTTCTCTTTTGTTATTGACATTTAAAATATCAATATTTATTAAGACATACAAAATGTAAATTTTTTTTTAATTAGAAATAGTATTTTACTTTTACTATTCATACCATTTCTAGATAAAACAGATACAGGCAGGCATCTTTGTTTTAACAAATTATTTAATTTTTTAAACAAATTTACGTTTTATAATTCTATTGTAATAAAATTCTTACAAAATGTAATTTTATTATTTCTCATCAGTTTATGGTATTTCGAAAAAATTATTAATATATATGAATGATCTTAATTAATATATTTTTAATAAATATTAATTACATGATAAAATTGATATAATTTTTGTTATTAATATAAAACTTAAAATATTAAATTTTTAAGACTATATAAATTTTTATCTAATCATATATATAATCAATACATTAAAAAATTATTTATATAACAAAAATATATTTTATACTTTATAAAAAAATAGATGTGAACTGTCATTAATATTGAATAGGAATTTTAAGATAGATAAAGTTGGTAAATTGAAAATTGAATTCAATTTCAAAATATTATTGAATAGTTTTAAAGAATTCTAAAATCAATTAAGATAATTACCATTAATATTTAATTAATATTTAATAATTAATAAATAATAATATCATATAAAATTTTAATATAATAATTCTTAATCTATTAATTATGATATATAATTATAATCTTTTACATTTTTATACAAATAAAGCATTATTGTTTATAGGAATTTATTTTATTATGACTAGATTACAAAATTATGAAATTTCATTTATATTTATAGCACTTATCATTATACATATATAGAAACTCAGTATTTTTTATTACATTTTATTACAATTATTTACAAACACTATGAAATAAAAAATAATTCATTTAGCATCTTTCACTTATTTAATTATATAATTTTATAAATATTCTCATCAAGTATACCAAAACTAAAAAATGTTAATAATTTATAATATCTGATTATTAATAATCTTTCCAAAATATCTTACTATTGCATAGAATGTATGCATTTTTTTTAATATGAAATATATATAACATAATAAATTAACAATAATATCTTTTCCTTTAAATGTACATACAATATTAAGTTTCAGATGCTAATCTCAAAAGTATTTATTAAAAAATTAAAAATTTCAATTTTATGAAGCAAGTCCCTTATGTTTTCGCTTTATTCTTGCATATGGACCTATATCAGGATCCATAACAAAATCATATAAAACAGAAACCCAAGAATTGTGTTGTGGTAAATTATCATAAAATTCAGAAGCTATTCGTTTTACCTATAAAAGATAAAATATTTTTAAAAAGATATAAATAATTCTATAAATATTAATCTTTTTGAATTACTTCTGGTAATCTTGAACCAGGAACAGCAGGAAAATCATGATGTTCATTATGATATCCAACATTAAATGTGATCCAATTTAATGGACCATAATAACTATATGTTTCAAAACCTTTTCTATACATATAATGTTCTGATATAAAATGTCCAGCTACAGGATGCAAACCCATTGCCATTGCTGATCCAGAAAGTAAATAAACTAAAACTTTTCCACCTATAATAAAACATATTCATATAATATAATATTAATATAACATGATAATATTATCAATATTTTACCTAAAAAATACCATATCAATCCATCAAAAGTAAATTGTATTATAAAATTTATATATTCCATTAATGTAGGTGCCATTGGATAAACAATAAGAGGTCTAAATGCATAAAAAAATGGTTGTAGACATAACCAACAAAACTTTCCAAATGTAGTGCAAAATAATTTTGCTTCTAATAATGTTGGTAAATCTGTATCTAATTTTTCATCACCTTGATACTGTAATTTATTTTTTAAAATAAATATAAATATAATAAATATATAATAATAGAATAAAATATATCAAATATATCTATATTTATTTAAAATATTATTTTATTTAATTTATTTTTAATTATATATTTTATTTGTACTTACACGATGATGTATAAGATGATATTTTTTTAAAGCTAACAGATACTGGTATACCTATAGGTAAATTAGCAAAATATCCAAATAATCTATTAGCTTTAGGTCTACCATGTCCAAAAGCAAGATTATGTGCTATTTCATGTATTGCTAAAAACAAAATGATAGAAAAATAAATAATATATTTAATCAAATTTAATATAATAAATATAATTATCACAAGTAAAATATTAAAAAATACAATATATAAATATATTATATATTTATGGAAATAAGAAAACTCATTAATCTATATATTATAACAATATAATCTATTAGATAAGATTTAATGAATCATTACTCTTGAAATAAAATTATAATCATGAAATACTATTATCATTGATGAAAATTAAAGATAATCTAGGTTATCTTTTATAATAATTATTGTATTATATTATAACAAATATTTAATATTTCATATAAATTAATATAGATAATTAAAAAATATCTTTTACATACCTAACATAAGAGAATGATTAATTACACCTCCAAAACAATATGCTAAAAAAAACAGCATTGGATAACTTAAATCTTTTACAAAGAACATAGAGATGAATTGAATTAAAACCATTCCTGTTACTACCCATTTAAAGTATGGATCATATCCAAATAATTTTTTTATTGTGGATATTTTTCTGAAAAAGAAGTATAATTTTTTAATATTGTAAAATTATTAAAATAAATTTTAAATAAATGTATATAAATTTGTAATTATATCTGAATTTCTAAATCTTAATTTTTATTAATTTTATTCATTATAATTAATTAATCGAATATTTTTATTTTCAAATTAAATTTAAAATATTTATCATATTTTATATTCATACCTAAAATTATTTTACGTCGTGAAGCATGTGGTTCTTCTGTATAAACCCACTCAAAATCATTTCTTGAAACATGTTGGCCCATCTTCAAATAAAAAATTTTTAATTACTTTTACCAATTAAATTATTGATAATTTTTACTAAATGTATACTTCATGAAATATACAAAATGTACGGTTTTTCATAGCCGGCGTTATCGACAATTAACTGTGTTAATCATTTAAGTACTGATTACAGCGCAATCTATCATAAGTAAGAAAATCAACGTGTAAGTGAAATGATTTATTATAACAATAAACCTATTTTATAGTGTTCACAATAACAAGATGTCTTCTAATAAAATTATATTATTATTTCTAATATTAAACAAAATATATAAAACACAAATAATTATTTGTTTTAATATAATTCTTATTTGAGTATAAATTTGTTTTTGTCTTATTTTAAATTATTCTACACATCTTTTTTTAAATCCATCATAATTTTACCATATTATATTTCTAATCAAAATAGATAATATGTGAAAAATATGCATTCTTTTAATTAGTTATAAAATAAAATTTATTTTATTAATATTAATTTTGCAATGAAAACATTGAAATAAATAGTAAAAAGTTAAAATTAATATAAACTAAAAAAAAGTATTATACATTATAAATATATATATAGTTCTTATATTCATAAATCATTAAAGTTAATATAAAATTTTTTTTATAAATGTATGAGAAAACATTTATATATTTTATTTATTAATATTTAAATTAAAGATATTATTATTGGTTTTATATATATTAATTTTTTATAAACTAATTTAATAACATATGTTATTCTGGGAAATTGTAAATTGATTTAATTTCTTAATTTGCAATTGTAATATAATTTTGATAAACGATTTAATAATATTTATTATAAGTAAGAATGAAGTTATTCATTTACAATATAATTAATTTTTTGAAATCGATATTAAATTTTGTCATTCCATTTAGTTTACAAGTGTCCATTCTAAGCATTACAGATCGATGACAAAATCTTTTAGGGTTTTCCATTTTTTTGTTTTTGTGTGATGTGAATATGTCAAAGATTGTGGTGATGTATAGTTAGCATTAAATTGAATATAATTATAATTGCATATTATAAGTGCAAACATCGATGAAACATTATGAATTATTAATAACTAGCTGGTCATAGTTGGAATCACAACATGGCATCTCGCAGGTGAGGCACGTTTTTATATAAAAAAAATATATAATTAACACAATTCACGGACAATCTGTGAACAAGCCTACTTATTTATTGGTGTTAACCGTGGATTAGTCAAATAGACTCAGAGGTAAAGTATGCGTATTTAAATCAATTCAAGAAGTGGAATTCTTCATATCCAAAAATGGATGTAAAATAATTTCACTTTATATATGTATTGATTATATATATTTCTACTTTATACAATTACTTTGTATTGCATATTTTGATAATACAAAATGAAAGTTTTTAAATAGTTATATATAACAAATTTAATAATATAACATTTCATTCATGTTAATATTATTATTAAATGAAGATTATATTGATCCTAAATATAATAAAGTCATATTTAATTAAGTAAAAAAAATTTTTACTTTATTATAATAATATTTTAATGTATTGTATGTTATATACACTTATAAATTTTAAAAAATTATATTTGTGATAATTTTTATAAGTAATTTGAATTAAATTTTTATTAAAAAATTAAATTTTTTTAAAATGAAATTAAACATATTAATGTTTTAAGGTAAAGTTTTTGAAATATCTAGTTTGTTTTTTTATTGAATTTTTTAAAAAGTTTTTTAGAAATTTATATATTTTTATTACAGATGGTTCCATCCGAATATATCGGGTTTAGAAGCAGAACGTCTATTAATGGAACGGGGTTATGATAGTTCATTTTTGGCACGTCCAAGTTCATCTAATCCTGGTGACTTTACATTATCTGTTAGGTATATACATAACATATTGTATTTGTTTATATAATTGTGATATATATATAATGATATATAATTATATAATGCGTGATATATAAAAAATTATTATAATCATAAAATATTTGATGTTTTTTTATTCTTAGACGCAATGGTGAAGTGACTCATATTAAAATACAAAATACAGGAGACTTTTATGATCTTTATGGTGGTGAAAAATTTGCAACATTATCAGAACTTGTACAATTTTATATGGAAAATGGAGGACAATTACGTGAAAAGAATGGAGAAATTATTGAACTAAAATATCCATTAAATTGTGCTGATCCAACAACTGAAAGGTAT